GTTGGAGAAGAGGACTCTCCACGGGCGGGCCAATATATTGAGATAACCCGTCTGCCCGTTGGGAGAGAGTCGAAAGAAATGAAGAAATAGATTCACAGAAGGGGCGACCTCCGTGCCATGGCAACGAATGATGAAGCCAACAATGATCTGATGGGAAGTCGGGACGAGCTGCGCCGGGGCTAGGCCGAGGCCCCTAAACAAAGAAAGATGGAAAGGGAGCAAAGGAAAAAGAAGCCCAGCACGAACGGAGTCCAGGTGGACAACCACATGGCCAGGCAAGTGTCGCATGGAATGACGGATGGCCCGAGCTTCCCAGCCCCATGGGGGGGAATAGTTGGGGGATCAGTCTTTTCTCGCTAGAAAGCAAACATTGGCGTTGATGTTAGACGTTGCAGAAGTTGAGATCGTAGCGGGGAGGCCGAGGTAGCATCCCACGCTTGTAGACCATCAGGTCATCACCAGAGTTACAATCGTCATCAGACGAGCCCTCAGAATGCCTACAGGAAGAGGAGGCCATGACAACGTGCGGAAGATAAATGAAGACTTATGGGGAAGAACTAAGAAGTTTTAGAGAGAGAGAGCAACCCGTTAGAATAACAGCTAAGGAAGGAAGCACAATGGCACCACCTCGAGGATGGGATACTTATAGGCTTCACCGCCGGTTCCCCCCAAATCCAGGGAGGACACGTGGCAAGCCGTGTTTGGTATATCGTGCGGCAGGAAGGATGCTTCAATACCCGCGCCATTAAAAGGACACGTATCAGGGACCCTTTCCTTTCACCCGAGGAGACGAACGTCCCCATCCCTAAAGAGCTTAGACACGGGGCAAAGAGAATACGAGTGGATAAGGAAAGATTAAATCATAATCATTATACAACTTTGAGAAAAAGGGAATTTTTATTCTTCGGCTCTACTGGCTGAAACATACAAATAAGCAAAAGGCGAAAATAGGGAAGGGATCACTCAAGGAAGTCGTGAGCGAGAGAATTTTGGGCGGAGGCCTGCGGCTCTTCATCCCCCTCATCAAGAGCAATCTCGGGGGTCGGGGGGTCAGGAATCTCTCCCCTCTGCACGGCTTCGGCCCGTCTCAGATCCCGGTCAATCTTGGCCACAACTTGCCGGAGCTCCTCCTCCTCCGTATAGTCTTCGACGTTGAAGGGGGGGGGGGGGGAAGCCAACCTGGGGGAGGATCTGCTTGAGGTCCTTCACGCCTATTTAATATCCCTTCGCAAAGCTATCATCTGCGAGGTCAAACAGCCATTAAGAACCGAGCGGAGCCCGCTCTAGAAGCTCCACCCCATGCTTTAGATGCCCCTTGGACGGTACGGTCTGTAGCTCGGCTTCAAAGACCTCCCCCACACCCCCCAGCAGTAGTCATGGGCGGCCTTCAGGAAGTGGGGCGTCTTCTTGAATTCATCGATGTCAAGGATCACGGTAAGAGCGTCGGAAGGGGTGGCCCCACCCTCAGGAATCGAAGCAGGAGCAGCGACAGGGGAGAAGGAGATCCCATATTTTTCAGCTAGGGCCAACTTATCGAGAAGATCTTGCTTCTCCCTCTGGGCCTGATCTCGGGAAGCCTGGAGCTCCTTCCGAGCCTGATCTAGAGTGGCCTTAAGTCTCTCCTTCTCAACCAAGGCAGCCGCCTCTCTTGCCCGCACGGCCTCCCACTCTGCCCTCAGAGCTTCATCAGCTCTCCTTTTGGCCTCGGCGGCGTCTTGTTCCCGAGCGGCCTCCACCTGCAATAGGTTCGACCCAGCCTCCAAATGGAAGGACATGGAGTTAGAAGAGATGAACGGTAGACCAAAAAAAAAGCAGAAAGGGTTAGCGTCGTACCTCAAAGGTCAGCATCAGGGCATGACTGATAGCCTCGCCTGAGGAGCGGGTTGGTAGCTCCGCCCCAGTTTGAAGGGCCATATCCCTCCAAACTTCTGGAACCGGACGACCTGGAGGAGGCAGCACGGCGCTAGGGCCTTGGGGCTGGAAGGCTCAACATGTTGCCTCTTCGGCTTTTTCCCCTTATCTTTCACCCCACCTGCGAGAGGGGCAACACCGAATGGGTCCACATAAAAACAGGGACAGTCTCAACATGTTGGGCCGTAGAACTCTGCCCGGTCACAGTAGCGATGAGATGCTGCTCGACAACTTCGACGTGCCTATCGGCCTGAGATGCGGCGGAGGAGTTGGCTTCAGAGGACTAATTGGCCCCTCGGGCCTTCACCTGCGCAGCTCGCAGTTTAGCGGCCCTGGCCTCACGAAGATCCAACATAGCTTGGCTTTGCATCTGTTCTGGAGTGGGGGGAGGGCCTGGAACAAGAAACAAGAAGTATTAGAACCGGACGATGCAAATCTCGGAGGCACTCACCTTAGGGACTGGACCGCCCAGGCCCACAAGATGAACACGAATAAATGCTAATCCAGGGATCATGGGCGGTACCTATCCCTACGCCAGAGAGTGCCTGGACAGTCAAAAACTCTTTCAACGTCTTAACGCTGTCCAACTTCAGTGCCTCGACAACATCACTCAATTCTGTGGACAGCTCTGACTATTTTATTTTCGGAGGATACTCGTTCCACCTCATGGGAAGCCGCTCGTCCGAATAACGGAGGAAGAAAAAACGGTTTTTCCAATCATGAATGGAAGTGGGGCGCCCTCAAATAGTTTTTGATGGGGACGTGCGGCCACACTCAGGAATCCATCGGCGTTCTGAGGAGCGACTTGGAAGAAATGGTTGAAGAGGTCTAGAGTTGGGGCGAACCCTTTGCATTTACAACGGACGATGAAAGCCGAAATAAGCCGATAGGAATTCAGCATTAACTGGGCCGGAACGACGTTGAAGCAACGGAAGAAATCGAGGTAGAACTTATGAAGGGGAAGCGCAGTCCGACCTTTACGGAGTCCATGTGCACCATAACCATCCCCGGGCTCTTCTAAAGAGATTATCCGTGCCACGAAGGCTATAGTAGAACGACGGGGGAAGGAGGGTCCGCAACTCCTTTAGGGCCCTCCCTGAGAAGACCTGAACGGTCATGACAACTTTGCGGATAAGTACAATGTGCCGGGGAAGGTCCACAGGAACGCCAAGGTTGAACACCTACAGATCGTCCCCATCTTTGGCCTCTTCACCGGAATCGTAGTCAGCAGGACGCTCCACCCCCACATCTGTTCGGGCCGCCGCCATTTGAACATCCCCAGGAACAACATCCATATCAACACCTCTGTCCGCATCACCTGGGACAGCTTCATCCGCCGCTATGTATCCCATTACCGCAGAGGCGCTGGAATGACCGGAGCTACCCGTCCCCTCCGAGGAACGGGATCTAGAGCTCGTGGCAGAGGAAGAACCGGTGGAGGACCCGGAGATGGGGTCCGAGTCATAAGATATCTCCATGGAACAGACCGTGGGAGGAGTAAAGGAAAAACGAAAGAAAGGATCGAAGTTGAAGTTACCTTTACAACTAGGGACGAAGCTGGACAAAGGGAGCCGGAGAATGCTTGCAGAAGAACGTCGGGAGCACTCGGGAATCAAACGAGGAACCGAAAACCCTAATCTTTCCAAAGGATCTGGTATTTATAAGAGGATACGCCTCTCCACTGCCCAATCCATAGACAATACGTGATGAGGAGCGTATCCAGAGACACGTGTCGCACATAGACGGACATGCACGAAATGATTACTTTTACATCGGAAGTTAAACCATCCTGCATAACTGCCGCTTAGAGCCCCGTGAACATAGGCCAGAGAAGCAATCGTCACATCGGAAGTAGGGATGGTGGTTCAAAGCGGCACGACAGAAACATATTACTTCTTTATGTCCCGCGCACGCTTGGAACATCAGAAGTGGGGGGCTTGTTGGGTTAATGTCCCGATACGGGCCGACCCATCAACCTTTAAAGACCTCATACGAACGTCCCCAAAAGGCCCATAAGGATCTCCTACGAACGTCCCACTAAAAGCCCAAGAAGGCCAAGCTTCAGGCCCCAAAGCAAGTGCCAATGTCCAAGGGTCAGAAGACGTACGTAACCAATTATCAAACAGATACCAAGGCATCCAGGCCCAAGATTCCCACAAGGTACATAGAGACGGGTGTCCCCACCTCGTGATAGGGTACCAAGGGCGGCTCAAGAATAAATCAAGGATAACTCAAGTGCATGGGGACGAACGTCCCCTTTCCCATTGACAGGAGATCAGGATTCTAGCAGGGGATAGGAGCCAAGCCCTCGAGGACGAACGTCCCCACCCAAGGGCGGGAAACCAAGATTCTGGCGGGAAGCGCATTTTTTGCAGAAGATTTGGTGGTTGGGATCATGCCGTCTACAGCCTGGCACGTCAACGTGTCCAACCATCCATTGACAGTATAAATAATAGCATTTATTTCACTGTAAAGGGTTCACAATTTAGCATTCTAGACTTCTAGCAATAGTATCAGCGCATAGCATAACATTGTACGTTCGGCCCTTCGGCTTGTAATAGTTCAGTGAATAAACATTCCCTTGTTTGGGCCATTTTCCCTGCTTGTTCTCCATCTACTTATCCATCTTCCACTCGAAACCCCCAGGTTACGTGCTGGGCCTGCGAGTTGAAGGAATAAACCTCAACACTTACACAAGGGTATGTTACTTTTATAAAACGTACATTAAAAATCATTTTTTGTCAAACACTCCAACTTTAACTTTTATCACAATCACTTTTATTCTAAAAACACTACCAACTTTCAGTACAAAACATTTTCTTCAAAATCACTTTTAAAATCACTTTTTAAGAGTAGAAGCAATCTCAGACACTTTCTCAATCAAACTCTCTCAAATTCAAACAGTGTATTATTAAGGATGTTTTCTTTAGGACTATTTACAATTCCAGACCAGACTAGATAAGATCAGGCCAGATCAGACTTCCACAATTATAAAATATACAAAGACCGGACATTTAACATACCAGATCAGTTCAAAACAGAACAAACCAAAGCAGACCAGCAAATTTTCATAGAATAGAAGAGAGACCTCAAAGCATGGGCGGCGGCCCATAGAGGAATTCGTACCCGAACAGGAAATGAAATTCCAATAACCCTTTCATATTTCAGCAGCATAAAAATCTCAAACACTCATAAATCCGAATTCTCTCTCTCTCTCGAGCTGCTTTGTGGTCTTATTGTGTGTCTTATCTTCGCCTAATCTTCCCCTCTTCTCTTTTTGCGATCCAGTTAATCAGTGTAAGGCAGAAGCTCAAACTCTGGTTTACTAATGATTTAGATCCTTTAATCGAGACACCCAGCTAAATAATTGTGTAGTCCTGCTTGTGTGTTTGTATATATCATGTATGAGTTGTGCGTGTAATGATATGTTAGATTGTATTTGATTTGAATTGCCGCATGTATTATTTGGCGGAAATCAAATTGACTAGATTTCTTTTTTGATCTTTTCTATTTTCATTTCGGCTAAGTTTGATTTTCCATCAAATTGCTCTTGCATGAATATATCGGTTGCGTTTATTTCCATGATCAGTATATTCATGAGCGTTCAGATGGACACATTATTATAGAGCTTCAGTTTGATTTTCTGATGACACTTGAGCAGAACTGTGCCCTGAATTCAGATCTTATCATATGATGCAATTTTGTGCACAACATTTTGCTTATCCTGAACTGTAAAATTTAGCATCTGTAATCTATACATTGAATGCCTGTTTTGAGCTTATAAGGACATAATTTTGTTGTCAAAAAGTGCATTGGCATTGTAATTCTTTAACAGTTTCAGCATTTTATGATTTCTCTTTTGCATAGGAAACCATGAGCGACCAAGGAGAAAAGACATGTCCTCTCTGTGCTGAGGAGATGGACCTGACAGATCAGCAACTGAAGCCCTGCAAGTGTGGTTATGAGGTCCAAAAATATTCTCTCCAGTTGTCCTATTCAATGTTACAGAAATATCCAGGCTGTCCAAGGGCAGATGAACCGCTCCTAGTGCTTAGGCCCACCACCTAGGACTTAGTTATTATGGAGTACTAAGTTATATATCTGCTGCCTAGTTGGCCTAATTTGCTGTTTAGCCTTCCAAGTAGATTGGCTAGTTTAATCCTAGCCCATTTGAATGAATTATGCACACTTTTGTATTTTTATGGTCATTATTAAAGTTTATCGTCTGAAAATACAATTTCCAATCATACTATTTTTATGCGAAAAACATTCATTATTGGATACGGTTATTCTTATATTTCTGTATTAAGATAAGTTTAATTTGGATATAGACTTGAGATTTACAATGCTTGTGTGTTTTGGTAAATTTCTTATGGAATTTGCAGATTTGCATTTGGTGCTGGCATCATATTATGGACATGGCTGAAAAGGATGAGTCGGAAGGTAGATGCCCGGCATGTCGTACTCCTTATAACAAGGAAAAGATTGTTGGAACTGCACCAAATTGTGAAAAGTATGACCCTCATAAATTTACTTTAGAAGGTGAACATATGTTTAAGATTCTGTATTCATTATGTGATTGTTATAACAGGATGGTGGCTGAGATGAGTATGGAAAAAAAGCTGAAGTCCCACAAGGGGAAAGGTAAAACATCGGAGTCAAGGAAGCAGCTTTGCAGTGTTCGAGTAATCCAAAGGAATCTTGTCTACATTGTTGGATTACCGCTTAATTTGGCAGATGAAGATGTATGTTATTTTTATTCTTATTTTTAATTATTCTCTAATTTATGCCCATCATCACTTGCACAATTTTTATTCACTTGAACAGATTTTACAGCACAAGGAATATTTTGGCCAGTATGGAAAGGTGTTGAAGGTATCTATATCACGAACAGCAGCGGGTGCCATTCAACAATTTCCAAATAATACATGCAGTGTGTAAGTTTCCTCTGGTGGGATTGTAAATTTTGTTGACTTTTCTGTTTGATGATTGCGTCAAAATATAAGCTGTAATTTCGTATGATATACATGTAGGCTAGCTTCATTTCTTCATCTGACTTCAATCACTCTCTTCTTGTTAGATATATCACCTATTCGAAGGAGGATGAGGCAGTTCGTTGTATTCAATCTGTACATGGATTTCTTTTGGATGGCAAACCTCTAAAGTGATTGCAACCTTCAATTTGTTATGTTATTTCTTTTGGATTTTTAGATATAAGTCTGGAAAGTAACTCTGCTCCTCGAAGGTTCACTTAGAATTAGAATCAGTTTTCGGAGTAATTTTTCGAGTGTTTGGCTGACATTTGACATCACTTTTTGGAGTTCTAGAATATGTTTTGGAAAAGCAGGGGGCAATGTTTCTCCAAGCTATTATTCTACAGTAGTATATTTTTCGCCGCCCATGTATAAAAGTGACTGCATGGTTATGCATATTTTTTTAAACACAATATCAACAGGACAGTGTTATTTTGGTAATTCTATACAATTACTATTTTCAATTTGGTTTGATCCCATTTTATCCTTTTTTATCTTTCTTACCCTCTTCATCTTTTTATCTATTTGTCTTATCTTAATTGCATTTTTTATCTTCTCTTTTTTATCTTTATCTTATTTTTATCTTATCTTTTTTTATCATTTGTATCTCTTTATCTTTTCTTATCTTTTTTATCTTTCTAAGCTCCGATTTCATTTATCGATTCATGTTAGCCAACCCCAAACTCTATTTGGATCAAGGCTTGAATATTATTGTTCTATTATTTTCAGGTTATAGCCTTTCCAAATGCTCAAAAAAGATACTACGTAATTTTTCATAGAACAACATTATTGCTCAAAATAGACTCTTTGTTTTGTACAACAAAATCAATGCCAAACACTCAAAAAAAGAACTTCCTTCTCATATACCCCCTCTGTCCCCAAAAGGTCTGCCAACATTCCTTGTCTGGTTGGACCAAAAAGCTTTGCCACTTCTCATTCGAGGAAACAAATCTGTGATTTATATTGTGTGTCCCTCTTTCTCATAAATCTCAATCACAACACTTTATTTGATACTCGTGCCAGTCAAAGTTGGCAAAACTTGTCTGGGACAGAGGATAGTACAAAATATTCCAATGTTTTGTTCTCAAATGCCCCTTTATTTAATGGCTCATTCGTATTTTCATACTAATTTTAAATTTTGTTTTGCAGAGCGTGCTTTGGAACAACAAAATATTGTCATGCTTGGGTTAGAAATGTGGTATAATCTTTGGATGAATTTAATAATTGACAATCATTACAACCCTATTGCGGTTGATTTCTAACAATTCATATGTAGTGTTCCCATTGTTTTGGATGGAGTGTCTTCATTTCTTTTAATTTTCCCTTTTTTCTGTTTCAGCCTTGCACCAATCCTGATTGTTTATACTTGCATGAGATTGGGTCTCAAGAAGACAGCTTTACTAAAGATGAAATAATATCAGTCTATACACGGTATGCAACTATGCACTATATGCTTCTTTTTTATTTTGTCCTTGCATTTCAAATTGGCCCCTGTATGATTATTTAAATCTATTCATGAATTCTACCTTTTCTCAGTAGAACATGAAGGTAGAACGTGAAAGCACATAATCCGAGACACTATATATTTATCTATGTGCAATACTATACTTGCCTTTGCTTTCGATGCCCAAGCCTTGTTATATAGGATAAGGGGCAGCAGCCTATATTAAGAAGTACTTGGTGTTTTTTTTTTGACTTGTACAGATTGGGTGGATTTTGGTGTAGAGCTATTTATTTCTCAACTCTTTTCTGTTCAATGATTATTATTTGATATGCTGCTTATTATACTAAGTTGAGCTTCATTTTAGCTTTCCTGGTGGTGCCTCGATAATCAACATGCACAATTATTTTACAGGAACAGAGTACAACAAGTTACTGGTGTCACAAATAGTGTGCAGCGGCGATCAGGGACAATTTTACCTCCACCAGCTGACAATTATTGCAACAACAGCCTTGCTTCTGCCGCAAAACCTATTAGTAAAGCCAGTGCAAGTGTAAGATTTTCTGGTGCCATGCAATCTGGTCTATGTTGTTCTTGTGGGGAAAGACACAAGCATATTGTTTTCATCAATATTATTGACAAGGATTTCTAACATTTCCACTCTAATTTTTGTTTGTTGTTGAATGATATTTTAAGTAATAATTTGACATTTTTTTTCTGCGAGTTATATTGATTTCTGATGCACATTATGTTATTTATTTGACATGTTTTATTTACCAATTTGATATATTGATTTGTGATGCACATTATGTTTTTTACCTTCTATTTATTCCAGAATTCAGCAACCACAGTAATTATTTCTCCTCCTGATAGTAGCTCTGGTAGATCTGCTGTTCTCCCTGCTGGTGCTTCCTGGCATGTTCTTTTCTCATTTCACTTTAACAATTGTTCTATTCTTTCTCATAGAAATGCACTTACACTCAAATATCTACCACAATTTCCAGGGGGACACGTTCCTCAAATAATCAACCACCTCCTTCAAGCTCTCCTTATAGCAATGGGCCTCTCAAAACTAAACCTGAAATCTCCAACTGTTCGGCGACATTTTCTGCAGCAGTTGTTAGTACTAGTCAGAGTTCATTGCATGCTGCTGATCGAGATAAGCAGCCTGCTCATGTTGATGAAATCAGCAATAATCAAAACAGGAGCAAAATTGAAACGCCCGAACCTTCTATGCAGCAGCATCTAGAAGTAGATGATCAAGATTGTGTTACTGAGACCCCTTCCTCGCCAGTTCCACCTCTTAGTTCATCTATGATTGATCAGATAAACATTCAGTCTTCTGCCAGTGGAAAGGCTAAGCATACATCTGATATGCATGATACTGCAATTTTTTTAGCTGAAGCCCCGGATCAACGAATTCATAAGTTATGCACAGACGTATCATCGTTAACAATTGATAGACACCAATGGTCACCATTGTCCAGTCACTTCGATAAACCTAGGGATATTTTAACATCTGAAGGTAGAACCACTATAAAACATGACAAGTCAGATTCGATAGTGAATTTACAAATGCAAGGTGTTGCTACTCAAGAAAGTGGTGAAGATATTTCCAACATCGGGTTACCTCAAAACCCTTTAATGTCTTTTAGTTCTTTAAGTTGGTCTCCTCTTCTCACCAACAATAGTGGGTCTGATAATGAAAATGTGCATAATGTAGATAGAAAATGTGATTCATTATTAGAGACATCAAGTTCACTAGAGTTCTTTAGTGGATACAAGGAGAACATTGACAGTTATGCTGATAGAAAATGTGATTCATTATTAGAGACATCAAGTTCACTAGAGTTCTCTAGTGGATACAAGGAGAATGTTGACAGTTATGCTGATCAGAGGAATAATGCTAACAGTTTTGAAGGTGAAACTGCAACTGCTGACATGGGAGAGAGTAGCATAATATCAAACATTTTATCACTTGATTTTGATCCATGGAATGCACCGTTAACTTCTCCCCAGAACCTGTCCAATCTTAGACTATCAAACTCATTAAAGTTGCATACGAGCAATCAATCAAGGTTCTCTTTTGCCAGGGAGGACAAATCTATAAAACCAGCACCAGGTCCAATACCAGAAGCTTCTTTAGGTCATATTCAACAATCTTTTAATCATCCTCTAAACCATGACTTGTCCAATATCAGAAACATTCAAGATAACCACGGTACTCAAAGGGGTTTCTCTCTTATCAACAATGAGGATTATAATATCTCACTCCGCAGCTATCCTACACTCTTACCTAATAATGTGCCGGGTGAGTTATGTACTTCTCTTTTCAAAATATTAAAGGAAGGCTTTCTTCTTATACACACTTGTGGTGAGACCCTTCCCCAGACCATCGCTTGCTGGGATGCCAATGTGCACTGGGCTGCCCTTTATGCAAGTCTTGTGGTAACTAAATCAAGTGAAATCTCAAAACAATAGTGTTTAAAGTAATTTATCTGATTGTTCACCTTTTTTATCCACTTGTGCACATATTTTATTTTTTCTTTCAATGTGATCCTTTCACCCCCTTGGTCAATAATTGTCTTAAAAAAATTCTGACGACAGTATCAAGACCTCAGATGTCTGCCCCACCAGGATTTTCAGCACCTAACAGAGCACCGCCTCCAGGTTTTACATCTCATGAAAGAGTGAATAAGAACTTCAGCTTTGTCTCAGGTTAGTGATTTATACTTGTAAAAGATCCTTCCCCCCAACTTGATAAAGACATAAATGTTAAGAATACATGTTGGATGTAACTCTACTCCCAAAAGAGCTTTTAAGAGTTGAGGCGGGAATGCAGCTAGACACATCTCTTTGGTCTCTTATAAGGTCCTCACAGAATGGCTACGGGGGCAGGCTTACATTGATTACATCTTGTTAACAAGAAATGTTTGTTCAACATAATCGCATTGGGGGGGGGGGGGGGGTATGCATTCATTATCAGTCAATGGAGATGTGGAACACTTCAAAAATATGCACAAGCATGCTTTGCATATTTTTACTAATTAAATGATCTACAAATATTGGATGATTACTTTTTCATTTGTTCCTGTCTTTTTTTTACAGGGGATCAATTGCTTGATTCTGCAGTGTTACAGAATCACTATCAGAATCCACCTGCAAATTTGATATTAGATAATGATGGTATTGAGTTGCTGGATCCTGCAATTTTAGCAGTTGTAACTGAGAAAATTCCTATTCACAGTGGTGCTAATAATTCCTCGGTAGGATTAGATTTGGGCCAAAGCTTTCCTACTCAGCAAATCAATAACTTTGAGAATGAGCTGAGACTTCAGTTATTAATGCAACAGTCCCTACCCACACAACATCAGAACCACTGGTTAGCTGACGGATTAGAGAACTTTTCACCCTTTCATGAAGCTTATGGTCTTCCTCCGAGCAACATTTCCCCATTCACGCAATTCAGTGTTTCACAATCTAGAGGGCCCGTTATGTCAAATGGCCACTGGGATGTCAGGAATGGTGGGGTCAATAGTGTAAACGATTTGGGTATGGCTGAGATCTTACGATCTGAAAGGATGGGGGGGCTTAACAACGTCTACCATGGAGGATATGATGATACCAAGTTCAGCAACCCTAATTCTGGCAATTTCTATAATAGAACATTTGGGATCTAATACAAGTGTTTGTGAGATTCCTTTGGCATTCATAAAAAATGTGGAGCTAATTGGGGAACTGTCTTTTATGACACTGACAGATAACTAAGGTGGCTCTATCGGTGTTTAAGTCTCCAGAATAATCAACCTGCTGCATGACTTATATCTGACAACATAATTGCTCCCACAATGATGGGAATGCTCTTTGGCGATTTGTCTGAGCTACTTTCAGATTTGGTGAAGGATCCATCCCTCTTCAGGTTTGGTCAGAAACCAAGAGGTCAGTAATTTTCAAGTTCCATTAATTAATGTTTTTTATTGGCAGTAATGATAGGACTTTGCCCTCCATGTTTTTATATTTTCGATGGTCTTTCTAATCATAGTAAGAAAATCTTCCACTTTTAGTCCCACAAAAATTATTCCACTTTTAGTCCCATGACTCTTTGGTTTATATTTTCCATGGTCTTTGTAATAATAGTAAGAAATTTATCCCACTTTTAGTCCCACAGATGCCTATTCCCCTTTTGGTCAGAGATTTATTTCACTTTTATTACTATGAATATGAGACTATTCCTACCTCTGGTCCCCAACTATCATTTTTTTTACTTCGTTTGCTCGTCCATAAAATTTTCTCACATGGTTCTTCCAACCACTTGCCTAGGGGTGATTTCGGTTTTTTCATTTCCTTTTTGACCCAAAACCCAATACCAAATCAAAGTAAAAAGTTTGGTTCAGTTTTGTCTTTCAAAACATGAAACCACAGCTCGATTTTTTTGGAACAGTTAAATACAAATTATTTTGCTACAGTATAATGTTCTCTATTAATAAAACAAACTTTAATAGTTTTATTATTAAGATTTATGTACGTTGGTTCCTTATTTTTTACGAGTATTTAATTTTTTTAATTAGTTAGGTGGTATAACTAAAAAATAAGTTTTTACCACTTTTAGTCCTCCGACTATTATGTCATTGACACTTTTGGTACTCGACTTTAATTCTTTCCCTTTTTAGTCCTCAACTATTGCGCTAGAGACAATTTTGGTACCCGTCTTTAAAAATTTCCATATTTAGTCATTCAACTTTCATAAATGTGACACTTTTGGTCCTTCAACTATTATAATTGTGACATTTTTAGTCCTCTACTTCGTGTGTCAAAATCATATTGGGAGGATTAAAAGTGTCAATTTGACAATATTCAAGGGGCTAAATGTGGGAAACCTTGAAGTCGATGACTAAAAATGTCTCTAACACAATAGTCGAGGACTAGAAAGGGAAAAATTAGAAGTCGAATACCAAAAGTGTCACTGCATAATAGTCGGAGTACCGAAAATGGCAAAATCTCCTAAAAAAATTGAATATCTTTCTTGGCAAGTGTATATATGTTCTTCATTTACACTTTTTAATTTGAAAAAAGCTCATGAATTTGAGGTGCAACTAGGGTGAATATATATTTATTTTCGCAATAAATACAAAAAAAGAAAGCAACTATGAATAAGCAACAATTGCACATCATCATCATGCAATAAATGATAAAAGCATGATAAAAAAAATTAAAAGATATGGGCATCTGCGCTCATGTGCTCTTTTTTTCGTTCAGGTTTTATTTTTTGCTATTTCGTACTTTTTATTTGGTTAATAATTGTGAGTTGTGCATGTTTTTTGTTGTGAGAATGAGTGGAAGCAATCAGTCTTGCTCAGTATTGTGCAGTCTATTCTATGTCTTGCTCAGTATTGTGCAGTCTTTTCAATGTTATATCAGAGAGTGAGATGGCCTATTGACTATATGGTGTCCGGAGGAAAGCTTTGGGTAGATGATAAGCATGATGGATGGTTGTTTTCTGAGTTTAATATAAGCATTCTTCTTTCAAAAAAACTAAAAGATCTATATGATTCTATTATTGAATGAAACGAAAGTGCAAAATGAAAATTTTGAAATTGAATAAAAACCAATTAGTATTACACCTTGACCTCTTAAATAAGAAATTCATAATAACCGTAACACCAAAACATTAATTTGTTGTACTAAAAAATCAAGGGCTAAGAACAATATTATGTAATGGTCAATAAATAAAATTTCATATATTCTTTAGTTTGGTTTATACAGTTTGTTTTTTTGCATTTGGTTTTGGTTTATTTTGCTTGCCATTTGTTTTTTAATTAGTTTTTCAGTTTCTCTGAGTCACCACTACACTAGCTTGCTCAATTTTCAATACATTTTTTGGTTGATGTGAGCTGGAATACGGGCCAGAAGAACCATAAATGAAAAAATTACAGTTACACAACCCACCAAAGAACTATACTTGTTTACTGGGGTAAGGTTCTAGTTACCCACCTGGGTAAGTTGTCTTCTGCTCTACCTAGTGCAAATAGAGCCTTAGAGATTAGATAACATGACTGCTTTCTAGCATCTGAATAGATCAAAACAATTGGGATTAAGTCTTGCGAGCAAAACATTAAGCCTGAGTTGGAGATTGAGGTGAAAGAAGAAAAACCATAACCTTCTCACAATAATGAGTGATTGTCAGGTGAAAGAAGCTGAGATTGAGGTTCAAAATGAAGTTTGAGTTGGAGATGGTTGGGGTGGAGAAGAGAGGAGAGAAGAGAAAGAGCCACACCAGGTTTGTTCCAATGAGTGCCTGAAGGAAAGACTCCAATACCGTCTATTGCTCATTTTTATTGCAAGTACAAAAATTGAAAGACGTGAATGAGTTCGAAAGCTTTTTTGCTTAATCTTCTATTATTTTTATTGCTATAGTAGAGGTATATATAATTTGGAACATGATTGTACAAATGATTGAACACTTGGGACCTGTTTGGGATTCTTATTTATAAAGGGGAAATGATTTGTAAAAAATCCGGTTCTGCAAAATACACTTTTGTTTATTCTATTAACTGAGCTCGGGAGAATAAGCTTTGCGC